TGTGGATTATTGTGATGTTTTTATCAGCTGTTTGGACTCTCATTCTGACGGCACCCATTCACTGCAGAGGATCCATTGCTGAGCAAGTGATGTAATGCTACATTTCTCCAAATCTGATGAAGAAACAAACTCATCTACATCTTGAATGGCCTGACGGTGAGTAAATATTCAGCGAATTCCTTGTTTCCTTAAAACAATCAGGAATTATAGAAAACGTGATTGTCAGATTAGCACTTTGTGTGAAAACAGATCTTGGTGTCTGATGGTGAAATATAGCAAACACTATACACTACAAATCAAAAGTTTGGACACACTTGACAGAATCTATGATTTGTGATCTTAAAAACCTTTCGATCCAAAAAATAAAATTGTGCCAACATATAAATTAACTTGCAAAACTAACATTTTTTTGATTCAAAAAGGAAATGCATTGGAGCGGATTGCAAGGAAAAGCATCATCAAGCATTTATATTACATGCTCAAGTGTTTTCTAGCATCCCATGATGCACCTCATGAAAGTCCAGAATGATCATAGCTGGAATCTAGACGAAGAATCTTATTTTAATTTTTTTTCATTTGTGTCATGTTTTGATCAGTAAATGTGAAAAATAGTCATAAAGAACTTTATAAAGGCATGTCCAAACGTTTGATTGACACTGTTACACTTCCAGCTGACTGTTAGTTACAGGAACTAGTCAATGTACTCACTAAATGTTGAATGAAAGTGCAAAATGTAAACCACATGCTAGCAATATATACAATCTTTGTGTAATATTTGCACCGAGCGCTGATATAAGGCTTTAAATGTGATGTCTATCACAGTTTAACACCAGACAAGTAGACCTATCAAGGATATAATCCATTTATTAAACAGGATCTTTGTTGGTAAAAATGTACATTAGTCTCACATTTGAAGTATTTACAAATACTTAAACAAGTCAGTCATGTCTAATAACAGCATGTCACGTAGGTCGCTTAATTTCCCTCGTGAGCGTGAAGAGATGAAACAGTCTCCGCTCCACTAGGTGGCGCTCATGTGGAAAAAGTCAGAATGAGATTTTGACAAATAAAAAAAAGTGAAACAGAACAGTTGGCACATAAAAGCGCAATAAAAAACAGTAACGACTTCATTCAGAACCCAGTGATTCCTTTCAGTTATGGTTCGTTCAATGGAACTTCGTCATCCGCCCATCTTGTGGTCATTTAGGGGTTCAGTGGTCCCCGTCGCCCCCTGGAGGGAGACGTGTGATGCAGCAACAAAAACAGCGCCTGACTTGGTTTGGTAATCAGTCCCAGAAAAAACACTTGAACTTCTTCACAGGTAAAGTATCAAAAATCTCATCTGTCGTTCAGAAATGTTGGCCAGCGAGACGCCCAGCCAGAAGCACTATTATGACAAATATAAATATGAGCCACTCATAGAAAACTAAAAGAAAATACTAAACTGTTGACCGTTATACCATGGTGTTGCTCTCGCCCACTTTATCCACTAACTAAAAGAGAAACAGAAGAACATTATTGTAGTCATGTGACAGTCACTTACGCAAGCACAAGATACCAAACTAGTGACAAAAGAGTCAGCAAACTGTGGTTGACTTACCCCACTGATACCAGGAAGGTTTAGTAAAGATCCAAGAATAGGCACCCGCCTAATGAAGCCAACCGCTACTGGGAAAAAGCCCCTGAAAACAGATGGACAACAACTTTATACCAAGTAATATTAAAGCTATGCTATGTAACTTTTGTCCTTCTAGTGGCTGAAGCGAACAATTACAAGTTACTTGTGGCGGAACATTGTTTTAGTTACCGGTAATATGTGAGTTGTGCTATGGCTCCGCTATTTTCAGTGAATGTTCATTAGCCGCTAGGTAAATAACTAGAAAAATGACAAAGTGCATTATACAATAAACCTATTTGAAAAACTTTTTGGAGCACAATCAGCAAATTTAGGGGCACACCTTAAATCGGCCTGCAATGCAATCGTTCACATATTTTCCCCATTTTAACTGTATTACTGACAAATGCTTTGATAATAAATAAACTTAACTCATAGAAATTAATTTCAGAGGGATATGACAAATAAATATATATGATAAAATTACTATTGTTTTGCATTAATAAGTGCAGTTACTAATAATATTACATGTTCATTTCATGTTTATACACATTTGACAGTAAAGCACTAGGCTTGAGTTGGGAAGCTTACAATATTTATTTCATTAACAACAGTAACATGGGCAAAATCTAATTTTTATGTAGAAAAAGTATATATTGTACTCTTATTAAATGTACCATTATTCTTCTATATTCTTATATGGAACTGACCAACAACTTCAGTGATTATGTGTGATTTAGTCGCAAATTGAAGAAAGGTTTGTTTTTCGAAGCACTTTGTGACTTTTCTTATACACCAAAAGAGCAAAACTTCTTGATTTTATATTTTATAATAGTGATTTTATAATTTCAAAATATAAAGGAAAAAGTATAAATGAATGACTAATAAGCCAATAAGTGCTCCTCTGCTGCCATCTACAGGTTATCATGGTGATTTGATATATTTTTTAATTTTACGTAAGTGTTTGTTCACCACAGTATATTTTGGTCATCCCTTTGAAAATAACATTCAAATTGTATCATTTTGGAGCTTTAAAGTGCTGGAAACAGTTGTGTGAAATGCTTGTAAGTCATTAAAAATTGCTTGAATTTCTCTCTCAAAAGGTTGTACAAACCCTGAAATGAACAATGTAATAACATTCGACTATTTCTGCCACAACAGCATGGTTAAAGCTAGCGTTACTGCTTCTGGGGCCCGTTCTTCATTACCTCGCTTAATACATCTGAGATGATTTGAAAGATGCCAGATCTTCTAATCGTGATAACTGATCTCTGGCTAATTTGGTTCTTCAAACGAATTTGCGGATTTGATTAAAATATCTGGATTAAGTTGTCTAAGATTACTGCGCGTTCTCGTGTTCCCCGTAAAGGGCAGGTGTATCGATACTCGAAACCACGATCAGCAACGCAGCGATTGGCCGGCGGCAAGACAGCAACGTAATGACATCATATTAGGGCTGCACGATAAATCGCATGCGATATTTAACGCGCATCTTGTCAGTCAGGCCGGTTCTGTAATCAGCGGTAAATCTCCATCACGTGCGTGCTTTCACATTGAGCAGCATTAACTACACAGAGCCGTTGTTCACTGACAAGCTGCGCAAAACCACGTTCATATTCGTGCGATTTTTTGCGCAGCTCGTCAGTGAA